TCAATGGTTCATCGATAAGTTATCAACATGTAATGATGATTAACATTAAATTGGAAACCATGATGATGTTGTTTTTAATGATAGTCTTTAACTATTAGTTAGTAAATGAATTTAAGTTGAATTCAATTTGATGATTGTGATGATGATACACCACGACAATCATAATAACTTGCATAAACAATTTAACACCTATGCAATTATTATTAGTTTAATTTGAAGTAATAAGAAAACTTCAACATATCTAATCAATTGATTGTTGATTTATAGTCTTATCAAGCTATTGTAATTGCAATAGTTTTGCAAAAATGATTACTCTTAATGATGAAGATTATAAAGATGAGGATGGAAACATTTCACTCTCTGTCTTTTTCTCAAAGACTATCCATTCATTGTCATCAAGTTATTTTCATGGTTACCTCTTCATGTCAATTTCCCTCTCTTCCTAATCATGGCTTTCATCTTCATCCTAATTATTATCAGAGAGAGAGAGAGAGAGAGAGAGAGAGAGAGAGAGAGAGAGAGAGAGAGATACAATTATCTTTTCAGTCATTTCTGGTCCTGATGAAGATGCTCATCATCATTATTATCATTACTTTTACTCTAAACTTTGCTATTACATAATAATTAGTTGATTCAAGTCAATCAAAAAGTATTATCATCTTCTTCATCATCCTGTTCATCATCATGTTTATCATCAGCTGAAATGATAACAATCTTCTAGCTACTCTCATTATTTAAGTCTATTAATAACATGGGGAAAATCAATGTATTAGATATTTTTATTTTTCTATCAAGTAATTAGGAAAGTTAAATGTTTTTACCATAAAATATTAATACAAACAAACATTTTCTTCCCATTGACATAATTTAAGTTCACTAAATTTAAGTCTAGATTTACAAGGTTGATTTTTAGTCCGAGAAGTTAATTGTTTACAATCACAATTTACAGTTATAACTGTCAATCAATCAATAAAAGTCTATGTGATTAGTTTCCATTCTCAATATAATATTAACGTAAACAATAATGTTTATCATGATCGAAAAGTTTATTAATATTATCAGAATAGTTTCGAGTTTTGATTTTTTTTCCTGGAAAAATAAATTCGGATTCGATTCCGTTAGTTACTAAAAAAAAGTAGATAAAAAGTTAATTTATGCCCGGCGGGTATTCATTTACATCATCTAATAATTTTCTTTTTTTTTGCAATTTTTTCTTCTTCCTCTCATGTAATCATCTTTCACTCAAAAATATGAAAAGATGATGATGATGATCACCATACAGGAATATTAAGTATTCCAAGGTGGGAAAGTGTCGCGGTTGAATAAAATTCAATGTAATAAATTGAACAATCAATTCGAGTAGGATTGATAATCGAGGTCAAATTTAGTTATGAAAAGGCTCAGGCTGTTAATTGTGTTGACGTTCAATCTGCGTAATATGGTGTGACTTTAACACGTTCAAAGATGATTGTTATTTCAGCACCATGTTAATCATCATCTTCATAATGAGAAATTATGTTCATTTCTGTTAAGAATTGTTATTATAATTCCATGATAATTATCATGATAATGATGATAAACTCAACATTTTACTTGTTTTCTTTTCTTGTTATTATGATTTTAATTTTAGAAAACCTTGAAGTGTCTTCAGCTCTATTAGGCTCAAGGTGATTCAAAATAAAATAATAAGAAAAAAAAAAGTTGTTGAAATTAATGATTATCATTATGATAATAATTTGATTGCAAGCGATTTAAGATTAAGAGACTTTGATGATTGTAAAATTATCATCATCAACTTTAAATTACCATCAAAATCAGCTGATTAACTTTAGTAAACAAGATGATCCATATGATGATGATGAAGATGAAGAAAATTGTTCACAATTTGCAATTGCAGTGATTGATTATTCCAAAGTTATTCGAACCTTAATTTTTTTTTCTTTTTGCATATTCACCTTTTCCATGCTTCTCCTTATTCCACTATCATGGTGTTCAGTTCATTCAGAATCTCTATGAATACATCAGAATCTTTTCTATCTAATCTTCCACCATCCTTTATATCACAATCAACAAGAACCTCATGATAAAATGCAATCATCATCATCTTACATCATGATTTCTTTTTGCAATATATTTTATTTGCTTATCTTTTACCACACCCAAGGTATTGGGTATCATCATTATCATCCTTTGCTCCCTCTTGTTAACTTTTGCATTTTGATTAATGTTTCAAGATGCTCATGATGAGCAACATGAGACATGAATTCATCTCTCTCTCTCTCTCTCTCTCTCTCTCTCTCTCTCTCTCTCTCTCTCTCTCACTCACTTTTCTAAATCATTGCAATTAGAAATCATATTTTACTTAATCAATTTAAGAGATTAATTTAATCATTCAAATATTATGTTGAGTAACTAAACCAATTTGATTAATATCATTTTCGCAATTAAAGCCCAGAGAAAAAAGTAGTTGCTCTTTGATAAAACTTAATCAAATTGTGATTATTTTTGAAAAGAATAAAAATTTTAGCTTTACAATCATTATTAATGCGATTCCATTGATTCATCATTTGCATCGTAATTATCATCATTTTCAATCTTATCTGTCAACAAGAATCAATTTTTTTCTGCTTCTTCTTCACCTTCATCAATGATGAAGTTGTTGCAACTATTTTTAATCCTCTCTCCTCGTTTTACAACAAACATATGATTAGTATAATCTGTAAGACAAAATCAATGGAAAATCAATCATTTTCAATTTCATCTGTTCTCCTTTTTTTTCTGTAATTACTTATGGGTTGTAATTTGATTGTTGATGAATTGTAGTCAAACCAGAGTGAGAAATGATGAGGAAGATAAAGGTAAGAAAGATAAGATACATCATCAATTGAAGATCTTGTAATGAAAGGACTGATTATTATTGATGGGAATAGTATTACTTTTTTCCAGTATTAAAGTATATGAGATGATGGAGATGACAATGATGATGGGGAAGATATTGATTGACTAGTGAATGTTGAGAAGATGATGAGGTGGAAAAGAGATGACTAAATATTAGCTAATGGGAGAGAGGAAGAGAGAAGGACCAACAACAAGAGGATGAGAAAATATTGAACATGATGATGAGAAGTAAATGAAAAAGGATGAGAATGATTAGAATCAGGATGATAATGATGATGTTAAATGAGTAAAATTGACAAAAATCTCTAGTGAGTTTGAGATGAAAGGAGTTGCAGTGAAATTATTTTTATCTCACTAATGAGACTATTTTTACAACAAGATAATAATAGTATCCTCATCATTATCCAGTATTGATATTCATAAATAGAGATGAATAAGTTAATCCAAATACATTTTATTGTGTATGGAAAAAAAATTAATAACATAATCTTACATGAAATGAATTTACATCGATCATGTTTCCTCAGAACTTTTCTGCTATCGATTTCACATGACATTCTGAACTTTTGATTTTTTCAATCTCTTCATTATTGTTGTTTGAATATTCAAACTCTTGCCTGATAATATGAAATTCCCTTAATAACTTGACCATCGTTTCGAATAACAATTCAATGTGAATGTTGATGATTTTTACTAATATCAAATGAGAATTTTCATCTTCATCGTTGGTGCAATAATATTACGATTTGAATCATCAACTATTTCCAATGATTGAATACTAATATCATGGAGGAAAATATGATGACAATATCAAAGTAATTACAATAATATGAGGCAAATTTTTTTTCTGATCGCTTTCTACCTTCATGCAATCTTCTCATTATCCTAATCAAAAGGTTCAATTGTAGCATCAATCGAAATGATATTTACTTAATAATAATTGAAGTTTAAGCAGATAGAAAAGTTATCGTTCATTTGAGCTGTTCGATGCAAGTTAATGGCGATTGAGGGTAAGCTGTGGAATGATAGAGGGAGAGTGAGAAGAGCATCCATATGAAATGTATTAATGAGCTTATACATTTAGATATATTAAGTAGAAAGAGAAGAGAAAAAGTGATCTGAATTCTTTTCGCTTTTATCTTTCTCTCTTTCTTTTTGTTAGATTTCTCAATTTCGCTTCATCTCTTTCACTCTCTCAAATTCATTGATAATATATATCTCGTTACATTTTGACAAGAAAAACTATTCTTATTACATGGAAAAGGTAGAGACATGATAGATGCAAACATAGACATTCATTTAATTTCGCATTTAATTTCTATGCATTTTTTGCTTCATTCATCCTCCTCGCCCACTGCTGCTGCTTGTTATTTTGCTGCCTCCAGCAAACAGTTCAATATTTCCCAGCTATAACTCTCTCTCTCTCTCCATTCCTTTCCCCCTGAATTGGATCACTGGCCTTGTTAATATCTATTGCATCCCTATAGATTTACTGTTATTATTATTTATCATTATTATATTGAACCAAATGGTTGGCTTGGTTATGCTGATTTACAGCAGAGTTTTTTGCTAGTAATCTATTGCGAATGATTTCTGCAGTAACTTTTTATTATTGCACAATCAGAGCATAGGGTAGAAAATATCATATTATAATATTGAGAATAAATTTTTGTTCAAGCCTTTGGTAAAATAGTTTAGGTTCTTTAACATGTATTGTATTATAATAGAAAAAAGTTTGATAGCTCTACGAATCATAGTTTGCTAAAATCACCGTTTACAAGGCCATCATGATGAAATGAAACAGAAAGTCAGAGGATAGAAATAATCAAAAGTGAAAAGAGCAAAGAAAGTTTATTATTAGTTCCAGGCATCCCACTAATCTGCGATCTGAAGATGTATTACTCAACGTCGGCTTCTGTTACCGAACCGACCGACTTTCGCACATAAGCCAGTGGAATTGTACTTGGTTTTTAATGGTCGTTCCTCATAGCTAAATTCTAAATTCTAAATCTTTTGCTATTAATTCATCTTTAAAATTGATCCATTTTTAAGAAGCAAGTATCTCCATCTAGGAGCAAATAGTAAAGATATTGGAAGTGAATTCATAGTTAATTGTGAAAAGATTAACTTTTTTCGCTCCTGATGAATTTTAATTTAATTAACTTTACCTGTGAATTTAAAATTGAATTTTGTATTATTATTGTTCATCTCATCACAAGGATCAAGTTGATACCCAAATTATGACAGTTCAACAGTTTCTTTAGTTGTTTTTCTTTTTCTTTTGTTACTCTTAAAACTGAGCTATTATTGCGTCGTAATAACTTCAACCATTTTCGTTTTCTTGGTAAGTTTTGTTGATAACCCAACAAAGGAACCAAAACAAAAACACAATCACTGTACTAAACTAAATTTAATTTATATTTTTCTCCCTTTATTTATGACAAACCTAATGAGTCAAACTATCTTCAAACCTTCAAACAAACGGCACCCATTTCAACTTTATCAAACATGATATTAAACTAATGAAATCAAACTAATGAAATTAAACTCAGACAATTAACTCATCAAGACAAAATTCACACAAATCTAACTAACAATACAAAAAAATATAATTCTTCTAAACTGAACGGTTAGTTCAGTGTCCGTAAGGACCTTCAGGTAATCCCGCTTCAGGATTCCTGAAGAATAATGTATAATGCATTCACCAGATGGTGTCAATAAAGTGAAAATCTATTTACGAATCGCTCTGATACTTAATACTGAATGGTAAATTAGTTTTCGAAACGTAACAAATCTAAAAAATTCTTGATTGATTGTTCTATTGATTCTTATAATCAAAATACTAATATTTGTTTGATTAACTGCAATTTCGGACTTAAAATTCAAGGTAAATTCATTGTTGATTAAACTATTTTAATCTAAAGGTAAAAATCTTCTATTCTGTTTTAACCCAAAAAGAATTTGCTGAATTTATCCCAAATCAATTTTTCTGTCCAGTTGAAACTTTTAACATTTGAAAAAGTTTTTGATTCATATCAATAAAAATGTTTTATGAATTAATCGAATCTGATAAGGGCCATCATTTGATAGTCCAATATGATCATGTATATAAGAACTGTGAAACTAAATTATGTCAAATGAGGGGTAAGCTTCATGATGGGGAATTTACAATTGGTAGTGATCATATTCATTTACCAGAAATGAAGTGAAAATTATCCAACGTCATCAACATGATATAAATTGATGAAAAATCCAACGGAAACTGGTCTTAATATTTACACTTAATTTTCTTTTCTTCTCACCCACAATATCACCAATTCATCTTAAAATAACAATCGATAAACTCTACTGGACATTTGCGTTTTGATAACAATAACAACAATTCTAATTGATTGTCGATATTTATAAACAAAAAAAAACAATTCTATTCTAAAAGGAAAACGGATTAAGAAGAAAAAAACTTCCATTAAAAAGTGTACCCTTAATCCCTATTATAATGAATCATTTACCTTCGAGGTTCCTTTTGAACAGATTCAAAAGGTTTACCTGATCATTACTGTTGTCGATTATGATAGAATCGGAACTTCAGAACCAATTGGAAAGGTGAATCTTGGTTGTAACGCAACGGGTACTGAACTACGACATTGGATGGACATGTTGGCCTCACCTCGACGTCCGATAGCCCAATGGCATTCACTTAAAGACCCAGATGACATCGGTGGCAAAGAGTAAATGTAAATCATCAAATCTCTAATCAGATAATTAAGATATTCTAATTGTAATCCCTTCCAAATTTTCATCAAATTTAATCATCATCATAATCGTAATCATATAATACTTAATGAAAGGAAACCAAACATTGAGCTTTTCCCATGGTGAGAAAAAAAAATTACCAATTACTAAATTGTTACTCTTTCTAAATAAATCACTAAATTGTTAATTGTTGGCTTCAACTAACAATTAACTCAATGGATGAGTTTTATTTTACCAGTTAGAAAGTGTGATTAGTGATTGATCAATTTATCAAGTGATATAATTAATTGTTAACCAATTCACCAATTGATCTCTAATCAATATCCAACTTCCATTGAGATTTGTCATTGAAATTGTCAATGATTAGTAAATCAAATTGTCCAGAAAAAAAATAATTCATTTGTTTCCTCCTTTCACAATGATATTTAATTGTCACCAGAATTTAATTGATTATCCCAATTTCATTTGATTCCATAATTTTCACATTAATTAGTTAACCTTTCTAATCAATCAACTAATTTAAACTCATCAATAGTTAACAATTAACCTCCTTCCAAGATATCGGACATTATTATGTCCACAATTATAAATTAGTAATGATGATCAAACCCTATTGATTAAGTTAATGAAAAGTGAAAGGTGTGATAATGAGCAATTGACACAATTAAATTACTATAATTATTAATATCAATTTCTAATTAACGATCACAATTCAATACTTGTTACCAATTGTAAACCTGTTGACCAATTGACCATTTGTTACCTTTGTCAATGCCTTTAAACTTGAATATATTAATCATCTTGTTACCTTTTCATTTGTCTATGTTAAATTAACTTAATTGTCTTAATTGTGAGAAAATGTCATTTTTCCTATTCTTATATTTGAATACAATTATAATAATAATCAACTCACAATTCGTAACGTAATTAAAATCCTCAATTAAACTCAGTTTTTGTTTTGCTCTGACTTGAGAAATTAAGTCTTTACTTGAAGCTAGTGATAAGTGGACCAAAGGTCTTGACCAAAGGAACCAAATGAAAACCCAACACTTTAATTGACCAGTTAATTACAATTATTGGTTAATTGTTTAAAAGTTTTCACGTTAAAAAGGTTGGAAGTGTCAATAAAAGGCCAACAATTAAACTCATACCCCTTAATCTATCAAAACTAATACGAAATGACCAATACACCGAATGGATATTTGGACATTTGGTGGACAATTTATTAAGTATTAATTAATTAATTCTATCGATTGATTTGATTATGTTGTTTACTTTCAATTGTAATTATAATTTCAAATGCAAGAATCAATGTAAATGCAATGCATCATAATCCCAATATCTTATCCCTCTGGAAAATTGTATTAACCATTAGTGATTTAATTTAATTGCTAACAAATGAACCTTAATTAACTCATACATTAAATATTGTGTTTTTAAGTTTATCCAATTTTTTTTTTCATTGAAATATATTAAATTGATCACAATTAAGTCTTAATTTGGTTGTACGGAAAAACTTTCACTCAATGAGTTTCCTTGGTGTTAATCAATATTGAATTAAACCTATCAGATAATTAAGATATTCTAATTGTAATCCCTTCCAAATTTTCATCAAATTTAATCATAATCATAATCGTAATCATATAATACTTAACGAAAGCAAATCAAACATTTCCAGCGATGAGAAAATTACCAGATTGTTACTGTTTCAATACATCACTAAATTGTTTTCCTCCAATTGCCTCAACGTACCGGCATTTGTTGATTGTTTCTAGATCGAACTGTTCACAATTTTGGTGTCAAATTCAAAATTGTTTATTAAAAGTATAAAAGATGGGATGAGCTCTGATTGAAAATTAATCTATTCTTTTATATTGTTATTAGGATGTAATAGATGGCGTATCGAGAGCGAATTCGTCTCCATCTCTCTCTTGAATTTACAAGCAGTCGCAAATGCTACCGAATTAGTTAATTCCATGGCCATTCCCGAGAAAATTGAAATTCTCTGTTCAACTTTTCAACAAGAATGTTTTCCACCATTTAGAACGTTTTTCTTTTCTTTCAAACTCCATGAAAATGACTGAGAAAATGTGCTCGATTCTAAATTGTAACCTTATGTTAAACTTTCTTCTATTCGTTATTCCAATTTTTTCTACAAACTTTTTCGTTTCGACATTTAAATTATACAGTAAATATCAACGGAAGTGCGAAGAAATTTATCTCCCTGTTTGCAAAGAGATTCGAGTTAATAATAATAATGTTAGTACTTCTTCCTCATCTTCTACTGTTTCCAAAGTGTTAAATAATAATAGCCATCAAATGGACCAAGAGATTTACCAATGTTGGAATTTGATGAGAGTTAATTGTTCAGATGATTTAAAGTTTTTTCTATGCTCCATGTACACACCAATGTGTGAAGAAGATCATCAATCAGTATTACCCATTTACCGGTCAGTCTGTGAAAGAGTTAAAAGTGATTGTGAAGTGGACATATTTAAATTCGGTTTCCCTTGGTCAGAATTCATGGATTGTAATATTTTCCCTTCGTACGGTTTAATGGATAAACTTTGTCTAGATAATAATAGTGATAATACCAAGGAAGTTTCGACTTTATCAACAACTTCTTCGCCAGTTTTATCGTCATCAGTAACGTCATTGTCACCATTTCTACCGTCCAGTTCATCGATCAAATCAGCATCATCAACTCATGAGAACAGAAATCGTAAGAGAAATTTTCTCCTTCTTCTCTTTTTATTTCTCACATTTCGAATCGTGTAAAGTTCTGACAGAGCTAATCATCACCAGCAAGTATTATAAGGTCATTCCGTCAATTCTCATTTCATCTCTAAGGGAATTGGTTATAAAAGTAATGACGATAATCGATAGAAAGTCAATGTTTTCATATCAAAAGAATCTGTTTCATCTTCATCTCTCAATATCCAAATAATGAGTTGAAAGATATATTATGAAGATGAAGAAAGTGAAACATGATGATAATCCTGCGAGAGAGATGCTATTTATTGTTGTAATAGAAAAACATGATAAAGAGACGGAAGAATAAAATGTGACATAAAGAAAAAATAAAACATAGTCTATGTACAACAATCGACGAAATATATTTATTTCAATAAACGAAACAGGGAGTTAGGAATATATATATATAGAGAGAGAGAGTGGAGTGAGGTAAAAGAGAGAAAGAGAGGAAGTGAGAAGATGAAGATGAGTAAATGATGATAACTGATGATAGCTCATTGGGTGAATTTCGAAGTCGTTAACTGCAAAAAAGACGAAAAAAGGAATAGAAACTCTGAAAGAGAGATAAAAGATTATTATCATCATCATTATCTTCATGATGAACAATAATAAGAAGTGAGAGAGATAAAGAGTACGAGGGGAAAGAGAATTAAAATGTTCCAATAATCATTCTTGAGATGGAATTAAATCCGCCTCAATTCATTAAACTACGATAGTATTAATAACTATTCTCGGATGAGAATCAGAGGAATTGAATCGGGAAGAGCAAAAACTTTTATCTTCATTACATATCAATTGTGGAGAGAGAGAGCAAGAGAAGAGAGAGAGAGAGAAATTCCCACTCCACCCTCACTTTTCACTAACTTCTTAGTGTCAATTTAATATTCTCTTCAATTGTAATGGATAAAATAACGTGGCAATGATAATACTTATCAATAAATCACAGTCAGAGTGAGAGGGACAAATAGATCGAGAAACTTTTGGTTTATCAATTATTAATCTTAATATAATCCCAAACCCATTGATTGTGATTAAGTTCACAATCAGTTGATTGCATGAAGATAATAATGATTAATGTGAAACAATTTACTAATCAAAGTTAAACAATCAATTGTCTCAATATTATTATCAAGAGAAGCTTTTGAAGACAATTTATCTCTCCCTTTCTGGTTCTCGGTTGGGTGGAAAACTAATCATTCACCTCATTAATATTTTCCTACCTCTTGATGATAATTAAACTTGATTATTTCTAATTTATCCTAATTGTTAAAAGACTAATAGAAAAATTATTAATTGTACTATTAGTTTATTGTTGTTGAATTAAAAGCAGAAAATAATTATGAATACACAAAATTGCTTATTATACGTTTTAAATTCATCCCTTCAGCTGATTAACAATTGGGATAATTAATCAACATGCAGATGAACAAGTAAACTGATAAATATTTTGATTTTTTGTTACCATCAATTGATTGAGTTTATCATGGATTTTGTGAAATCTAAGTTAAATTAGTGAGTTGATTGCTACCATTAGAATATTGTTAACTTGAGAAAACAACAATCAACATGAAAATAACACTGACCACTTATGGATGACCTTTTTTTCCTTAAGTGTTGACCATATCATTGGTTTGATTTAATTGTCAACATAACATCATCATCATTATCATCATTGAGCTAATTCTTACTTTCTCTTTCCAATCTCCTGATTTGATCACAATTACAACTGAACCATAGCTGATCTGCTGATTTTCCACTTGCTCTCTCTCTCTCTCTCTCTCTCTCTCTTGATTATTACGACTCCCACTTCATTTTATCACTTCATACTCTTTGGCGTATTCATTGAATACTGAGAAAAAGAGACTGAAACAAATCAAATCCCATGATGATCAGATTTCATTATATTCTCTTTTTTCTTCACCTTCATCAAATGCTATTGTCCAGTGAGTCTTGTTATTATTATTGTCGACTGGTCATTCTCAAGATTAAGATCTTATTCTTATAATAAATCTGTTAATTTGTGGGTTTATCTAATTCTCTTACAGTTAATAATATCAATCCCATTCTCCATAGACACCACCACAGTTTCAAGTCTAAGAATTAGGTTCATGTTCAGAATTTCAATTCTCGTCACCATGAAGTTACTACTCGATGGTACTCTCTTTGATATTATCTCACTCAGATTTTATCATTACCATTGTCTTAATTTTTGCTTCATTTGATTCAGTTATTATCTGATTGTTATCATATATAAGATTTGCTCAAAGGTCATGAAATAAACATTGAACAAAATTTTCTCTCCCCATGTTACAATAAGTTAACATGGGGAAAATCTATGTACTAATATTAATAGTTACTCTGTAATTCTTTGCTTTATTTTGCTTGTTATCATTTTGACAGAATTTTTTCCAAGTTGTTTTCTTTTTAGAACTTTGTTCATAAAAAATAAGAACAAGGAAGAAACAAGAGATTAACTTTTCTTGGTGGAAATTTTCTGAGAGGAATAGATAAGAACAGACAAGAAATTAGAAGAAAATTTTTATTCCCTTCTTTTTTTTTGGAAAAACAAAGTTTCGACTTCGTTTCCTTTTTCGTTCTATGTCAATTAAGGTAACTTGTGTTCTTTTTTTTCAACTTCTTCGTCTTCTTCGATCTCTCTATCTACCATGGGAAAGTAAATGGATGAAAATTATAATAATTCTGCTTACAGGGAGTTATCATTTCGCTTATTCTTATACTCATCCATCTTTCAGGGTTCATTTTTCTTCTGACATTCTGAACCAAATTCTATCTCGTTGGTGACACAAATGACTATGTGGAGTTGCTGGTGTCCAATAGACACAATCAGTAAACTGTATCTTAATCGAATTGTGAAAAAAACTCGATAACTTAGAACTTCCGTTGGTTGTTCAGAAGAAGAGAAGAAAAAATTGTCAAAAATGATAAAGTAAAAGCTACTTGGCCTGAAGAAATTTTCGAACACAACTTTTGAGACTAAAATTCTATTGACGTTATTATATTAATAAAGAATCTTTTCTCCGTTCTTAACCTCGACTCACCTTGTTTTCGAGTAATAATATTTTCGTAACGTTGTTATTTCCCTGGTTTCGATTTTTATGAGAACAAAAAATCATGATCATTTATCGAGTATTCCTTTCTAAATCTGGTTCAGATTTATTTGGTCTGAGAAATTGGATCGAATATCATTGCTATAATGATAATGAGCATCTTGTTCATCGAATCTCAAATTTCATTATCATGATAATCGTTATGAGAACTATCATCATCATTAGAATCAATGGAATCATTCAATTGTTTTTCCTTCTTTTCTTTTCTAATAAAATTCTTAAGTTTTCATCTCTCTCTCTCTCTCTCTCTCTCTCTCTCTCTCTCTCTCTCTCTCTCTCTCTCTCTCTCTCTCTCTCTCTCTCTTCAATTGAACTCAATTCGATGAGAAAAATAAATTTCGTCCAATCGAAAGTTCTAAAAGCGGAAGTTAAACTTTTTACATTCCCTTTAATTTCATTTCATGGTGGATTGTAAGAAATATGAATTATAGAATTGGAACCTAAGACTAATGGAGAAAAAGCAAAATTTTCTTTTCTCCAGATAAATCGTCAGATAATCATTCTGTTGATCAAAGAAAGAAAAAAAGAAAATGAGAGATGTAGACTTTCCCATCCTTTATCATAACTTGGAAGAAGAGCAAACAGATATGTAAGAGTAGCAAAAATGCTCGAACCGGAAAGAAAGAGTCAATTCAATAAATTCCTGAATATACCGAGCGAATCATAAAGCATCGCCATGGGAATCTATTGAACCATTTAATGGGTGTTAAAATTTGGCTCGAAAAGAGAAAGGTCAATAAAAGTTGCGAAATTTGCAATTCCATGTCAATTTTTTGCTTCTCTCAAACAAAAGTCCATCGTTTCAAAGTCAATTTCAATTTCTAACTAGTGAATCTGATAATATCTCAACTCTCTTGATAGTTAAATTTTTAATTAACTCATAAAATATATATTTATTAATAGAAACCAAAAATTCTGACCATAACCATGGCTGAATGCATTCAACCATTTAGCTTAAACTAAACTCAACGTTTAGGAATATAAATACATGAAAAGTGTTTTCGAAGTAAATTAAATTGAATGAAATTGAATCGAGTATAAAGTAAGGCTACTTTTTTGCTTATTTACTCAATTACAACGAAACATTTGCAAAACAAAAACTCTGAAAGTTCTGATATTAACAAGAAATGATAACATGATAAGTTACATCATCTTAACATCATATTTCACTTATAGTTGTAACTTTGTATTTCTGTTAATCAGAATTTGATAGGCATGAAAGAGAGAAAAGCTTTTGGATAATATTACAGTTCCAATAAAAAGGTGAACAAAATTTTCGATAAAATTTTGAATTCTAACATTTGGAAATAACCTTTATTTTCATGGAAATTTGTTCCGGAAAATCTCACAATAAATCATTGCCTATCCTTCATTTGGTAGCAGAGTAAATTTATTGGACTGTTGAAACATCAGAACTTAAATATTATTAACATTTCATGATGGAAAACATTGAAAAAGTGTAACACTAATCCTCGAAACATTAATGATTGATGACATTTCATCATCCTCATCAAACTCATGATAATATTGATTGAGAAAAAAACAACAAAATATGCAGCTCATTGAATCCATACCAGGAAACATTTTCACACCTCATTGGACAATTAAAAGTTCATTCATCATGATAATCAGTTTCAATTGATGACAAACTTACGAGCAATGTATCATCATGATTGTTTTATCACCATTCCTATGAATATATGTGTATAAATGATGACAGATCTACACCCGAATCATGGTAAACATTTCCCTCTGTCAACTTCCTGTTTCATTATATGAAAATTTTATTCTCTCTCTGTTTTTTTTATTTTGTTTATTGAAAAGACTTCATTTTGAATTG